AATTCACTGTATTTATTTTTTAATAATTATTACTTACAGCCATTTGCTGAGTGCAGGATGACCACATATAAACACAGCACATATTTCAGTGGTGAGTCATTTCAAGTTTGATTTATTCTGGATAGCCTTTGGATTTACAGTAAGTTGTCTTGAGACTGAAATTCAGAATGCCAAATTTCATCCCAAAGCACAGGTGCTAAGTAAAGTTGAGAAAGTATGAGTTGCATGAAATGTATGTGTGTCAGGGGGTGCGTTGTTACAGAAAAACCGGTACAGTCTGAAGACAACTGTATTTTTTACTCTCAAGATCTCCAAGTAGCAGAATGGTAAGGTTGTTTGTAAATGTCTAGAATAATATTCAGGTGAAACTATCACTAGACTGTATTTCATTGGAATATTGTGAAATATTGCTGTAAGGTATTAAGAACTAGCTGGACAAGTATTTGTCAGGAGTTGTTTTTGTAGTTCACCCTCCCTTTAGGCAAAATGGTGCACTAGAAAAATCTGTTGGCAGTCCTTCCCACTGCCTGAGAAGCCTTATTAAACAGAAGATGAAACTGGAATAGCTAGTCATGCTCATTCAGTGGCAGCCAAGTGTCTGCTGATATGTTTGGCCTTGTAGTCACACAGGCTGCAGATTCAGTACAGTTTCTAGGGCTATCAGTAAAAATCTCCCATTTATACTATGGCCAAGGGAGCTTGGAATACAGAGTCTATAATTCTGCAATACCACTGGGTTGTCTGCATAAGCAATGTGATAAACCTCCTCAACATTGTACTGTCTGTAGAAAATCTGGCAGAAACAAACCCTAAAAAAGATGATGTTAATGCTTGATTGAAAAAGCATGTGACGTATTTGATGTTAAAATGGTCCTGAGAGTATATGCACATGAATTTGCAGAATCTGATGAACAGCCTAATACAATTACGAGCTAGAAATGATATTCAAAGTAGGAAAGTGCATCTTAAAGCAATGGTTCCATCAGCCTCTATTCTGCCACAAAACTGAGTCTGAGTTACCCACTTAGTGTTCTTCTATCACATATAGCAATGAATTATCTTTGGTTTTTTTCTATGGTTACAGTGTATAGAAAATTTATTTTTCCCAGAGTGTAAACTAACATCTTTTCTTCCTATAAAATGTTAGCAAGATACAAGCATAATATGCTGTTTTAAATAATGCATTTCCTATACAAATATAAATATATATATTACTATGATAACATCACACATATTTTTAAATAACACAGTCTCTATTTCTCCCCAACATAACATTAAGACAAAAGTACATATAAAATCATTTAGTCAACAAACTAAACTAGTTTTAAACGTAGATTTTAAATTAGGTCCAGCTGGCCCCCTTCCACCTGAGGTCCACATATACTGCTATTGTAACTAACATGCTGCATAAGGGAGGCAGTCTTACAAATTGCTATGGTGGCAGTGCCAGCATAAGTACTTACTGCCCCTGCTTCTGGGGCAGACAACAGTCTTTTTCCTATGGCTTATTGTCCACTTAGCTGTGTTAGCTCACCTCTCTGTGCAACCACCCAATAAACAAGATCAGAGAACTCATCTCTGTTAAAAGTAACTCAGGGAAGAAAAAGCGATGGTAATTTTTAACCTATCAGTTTATTGCACTATCACACAGCCGGTCATACCAACACAACAGAGCGAGGAAGGGGCCAGAGCAGGGGCTGGAATGCCTGTATATGAGTAGGCAACTCCTCATGATGGTTTTGTTGTCAGAACAGTTGCTTTTGAAATTGTGGCCAATGTCACATTCGCAGCCTGTCCAGCCTGTTGAGGGAACTGCTAGGTAGGAGGTCAGAAGGCCATTCAGATACAATTCCAAACAAATTCTTCTTCTGCAGTTATTTTCAATTTGTTGAAAAAAATGCTGTAAACACTCACATCCTGAGGTGTCCATGTCCTCCAGCTGTCAGCAGTCAGCTGCTAGTGGTGTAGGGGCGTTTCTGTATGCTGAATCATGTGGGATTACAACAGTTGTGCATGTCAGACTTTTCTTCTTTCTCTCCCCAAACTCTTACAGCAAAGATCATAAAGTGCTATGTTAATGGATACCATATATGTTGGCCATATACCACTATACCACTGGAGTGTTTGTACTAGGAGTGTGAGTGACCATACCACATTTTGAAAAAATACACAGCAGAGATCTACCCGCTCTTTATGGTCTCAGGCCTGTATAGTAGGAAGTGTTATTTAAGGCATCCTGTCCTTGCATTTCTATCTATTGCTCTCTTTCCTAGTATTAGACCTGAAAGATTTGGGGGGGATGTTGCAATTTCCTCTACACTTTTATCAATGTATTTACATGTGCACTGTCCAATACTTTGCGCTTAGTCATGTTCATTGTTGCCATGGCCAGATAATCTGCTTTAACTGCTGTTTTTATGGGTCTTTCATACAGAAACTGGATAAACATTCCCTAAGAAAGGCTCATGAAATGCAAGTTTATTATTTAAAAAATAGCTGAGGAGCTAAGGGACCAATGCAAAATCTCAGTTTATAATTCTCTAGATTTTGCATTAGTAGCATCAATCTGTTTTGTTGTTTGTAATGGGCTTTCTCTAATTTTATAGTGAAATTAAATTATTTACAGAAGAAGAGAAGCTTAACAGTTTTGTATTTCTTCTGTCTGCAGTAGGTAGAAATCAGTCATGGGGTTCTCCTGATGTAGTTTTTCAGTTTATCACCATTAGCTAACTGCTTTATGAATGTTCCTTTGAGGGTATATGTTTAACTGCTCAAAAACATTTGATACGGCAGGCAAACAAAGCTTCATCACAATGTGCTCATAACTTAACTCTTAAGGATCTAGCTTTACACTCTGACTCTCTCCTCCTGGTTTTCCATTAGAGAACCATATTAAGCATGCTTAGGAAAAGCAAACTAACTTGTTTTGCTACAAATCTGTGAGGTGGACTCTCTCCCTACACACCATGATGCAAAACCTAACTGTTAAAAAGGCAACTTAAAATTTTTTGTTGGGTCTGAAACAGATAATATTTTTTGGTCCAACCTGATGACACATAAGGATAACCAGTGTATTTTACAACTCGTCCTGTCTTGATTTTAGGCGATACTGTAATTATCTTTCCCTGTATTCTTTCCAGACGCTCATGCAAGAAAGTACTAGATGTTCCCATGATATTCCATTTTGGAGATAAACAATTCCATAATTGCTGCCTTAGTAAAGTCTTGTTTCTATTAAGCATTTATTGTGGTATTGTTCAGCTGTCTCTGGCACTCATCTGTGGTACATAAATGGAGCTGGAATGAATTCAATTCAGGTAACAGACTAGATGTACAATCGCAAGTAAGGCACAATATTTCATTGTTTAATTCTTAGATGCCCTGTTTTTTCAAGGAAATCTATAGACCTCATGAAGAGAAGTGAGTTGAAAGGCAGATACTATAATGAATTTAAACTCTGAACGTTTTCTTACTTTTTTTAGTTATCTTTTGCAGATGCATTTAATAGTTGTTCTCTGACTGCAGGTCTGGTATATACAGACCATTGGTATACATTTAAACTGCTATATATTCCTTTTGTCTTAAGCAGAATTACTGTACTTCAATGGCTTTCAGTGAATTTCCTCTAACTTAGCTAAGGAGCTGCTCACTCAGTAAACTGTTCCAATCAATTTGTCTGACTTCTGTATTGTCAGTTTTTCCTAAATATCTTGCTGGTCTGGGCTTGCTGAGGCTGAAAGACTCACTGTTGATCCCTGGTGGCGGGATGAAAAGCCTGAGCATTGTGGGTGGACAGATATTCTGCCAAAGAGAAAAAATAGTTAATGCTGTCTGCTGCAAAGAGAAATTATTTCACAGATCAGATCCCCACTGATGTTTTAGTTCTTTGACAGTTAAGGGCATTAATCTTAAAAATGCAGTTCAGTTTTAATTTTGCAGGCAAGGAGACACTTTCTTCTCACAGGTAAGTATCAAGGCAACTGTTACAGATGTGTTCAGATGCACAGCTTGGCATAGGTGAGTTGTTGACAACAGGCTACAACTTTCTAAATAGTTCAGGCTGCTGAGATCAGTATCATTAACCTCAGAGTAAGAATTTGTGTTAGTCAGCCTCCCTGTTTAAAAATTCAGTGGATTTACAATTTCTTTGGACAATCCTTTAGGAAGCCCTAAGCTTACATCCAGAATGAATGCAGGACTTCAGTCTGGAGTACAATAGTTTTTTAAAGGATCACTGTGAATATGACCAAAAATATCATAATCATCAGTGAATGATGGGTCAGACAGTCATTTAAAAGTCTTCATTGCTCGTGCAGACCTTGACCTGGTGAGCACTACTCCATTGAAACTCACATTTGCAGCTGAAACTCCATAGAGCGTTTGCCTCCTGAATTTGATTTGATTTTTATTTGTACATCTCTGCTTATAGAAACAGAAAATGTGGAAAGAGCAGGGCACTGGGCAACCAGGCTGATTGTTTCTCAAAGTCTTTGACTCCTACTGTATAGTACCATTTAGACATGTTTACATTAAGGCCAATAAGCTCTGATTGCTGTGGCAGTTGAACAGGTTATCAGTATCTACCTCTGTCTTCAACCTTGAGAATAAAGGGACAAAAGTAGCCTGATACAATACAGTGCTACAGGAAAGCAGGACACAAGAAGTCCTCGACCTGCACATACTAATTCAGTTACTTTTGGCAAGGGTACAAGACATTTTGAATTTTACAGGTTTTTACATGTATTTTAAGTGCATTGGTTTAAAGGCAGTAATTAACAGCACTACAGATTTTATGAGCACCAGATATTTCAAAACTATTGCCGCAATTAAATCTATTGTCACTAGTATATCCAAGAGAACAGCAGATAGGCAAAGTCACTCAAAGGCCTTTGGAAATCGACTTTTTGGAAAACAAATATGAGATTGGGAATAAAAAAAAAGGATTATTCCCAAGTCACCTGGATTTTAAGAAGACTGATTCTTGTAAAATAAAAGGCACCTCAGTTTCCCACTAGTGGGTTGCAATCTTCTTGTTGACTTCGAAGCTTTTTCTTGAAGATGGATATTGATGTGGATGGCTGGTAAAATATACTCCAGATCTCACCAGCAGTAGTAACCTCACTGGAATCTTCTGTTTCAGTTGCAGATGGTATCTGATGCGATCTAGGAAACAAGTGTTAATTCACTCTTTAAGTGTTAAGCAGTTTGGGAAGCTGCTGTTACTAGTATGTCTGCATTACTGCTACGCTGGTAATGCTAGCAGCTTCCACTACATCTGTGACACCTTTTCTTTCTACCTGCTGCACAGTTATGTAGGTTTTTGGAGTGTTTGTTGGTTGTTTCTTGACAAATGAAAAGTTAGGCATTCTGTTGCTAGAATAGTTGCTAAACAAATGAAACCAGAGACATTAAGAAGTCTGTACATATTCTATTAGTAATTACTATTAATATAAATTAATTTCCTTGTATATTTAAGCCTGTTTGTGGTATGTAAATACAATATTGAACATTTATGATTTGTACCTAACTCACCCATCATTCAATTCAATGAGTGTCCATCTAGAGGACACAAAAACTACTTTGTGTAAGTGTAGAAAAATATAGTAAAAAAACTGTTGGTTTTAATAGGCAAAAAAAATTATACTGGTTAAGTGTCACACCGTAATACAGACTTTCATTTTTGTGATTCTTTTTTGAACCATTTTCAGTATTTCATTAAAGAAAATATGTATTAGCTAACCTATATATATCTTTTCTTCCCCAGCTCCCCAGTCTGGGATGAGTTTTTAATTTTTTTCCTGCAAATTATTATCATAATTTGACCTCTTCCCACCAACGCTAGCTGTCTGATTACATTTTCTTCTTTGCTATATAACATCACTCAGTATGAGAAACCTTTTTATTTCTTAAAATACAAATCTTGTCAAAAGAAGACCAAAAGAGAGATTCTAGCAAATGCTATCCTAACAGAGTGGAAACTTAAAAAATGTGCTTATTTAGTATCTTTTCTGAGGATACAAATATATAATATGTAACTTGGTTTTGAATATGACCAATCTGACAGTATCAGAGAAATGAAGTGTACCAGGTTTGGTACAAAGCTGAGATGTCAGTTCTCCAGGGACAGTTTTGCTCCATACTCACCTCATGGTAATGTGGAGAAATATCTTTGCTATTATGGCTGTAACACTTAGGATGAGCAGTGCTGTGAGACTATATATTGTCCACTCTGTGAAAGAGAAGAGGAGAGAGAGAGGGAGAGGGAAGGAGGGAGAGGGAAGAAGGGAGAGGGAAGAAGGGAGAGGGAAGAGGGAAGGGGGAAGGGGGAAGAGGGAAGGGGAAGAGGGGAAGGGAGGGAGAGGATAGGGGAGGTGAGGGAGAGGAGAGTGGAAGAGGAAGAGGAAAGAGGAGAAGAAAGGGGAGTGGAGGGGAGGAGGGGAGGAGCTCTCAGTACATTCATTTACTTACCATTTTTAAAGCAAGAATATTTCACAAAAGAAACACATAACCTTCTGATGTTTTACTCCAAACTGTAAGTTGAAGATGCCTTAAACCTTTTAAGTATTTTCTACAAAGACTGGCAGAAACTGTGTAACTCTTAGTCAGAACTGTTTTTTCCCATGCAGGACTGCTCCCTATAAAATGAAAGTTGGGAAAATCCAAAGCATATACCAGTAAAATTACCTAACTAGTTACTAGGAAAGGAATCAAAACTCAGAGGAAAATTTAAAAGCAGATTAAACAACATACTAGAATATATGCTACCAGTAGTAACTCTATGTTTGCAAGGAGATGGCCTAGTTTTATATCAGTAATCACGTAAGTAATCACTAGGTATGTTTTTGGGTTTTTTTGTACAGTCTATTGAGACAGGTGATCAGTATTTGTGGTCTGCTATTTTATTACCTTAAACTGAAGGCTCTTGGTCATTGTATTTTACATTTGAATTTAGTTCTGGTTGTACCAGCAAGTCAAGCAGGACTTAAAGAGCAGCTTGACACATTGCAACATTTGAACTATTTAAGAGATTGGGGCTTGAATAAAGCTGATTTCTAAATTATTAGATGACCTTCCCACTTGGACTTCCATAATCTTGCAGTGGGAGGCTACAGCATGTCGAGATGGGAAGAAGGATGGCACTAGAATGTAACTGACATATTTAACACACTGAACAGTCTTGCAAGGACCTTGAATTATTACAACAACTGAACAAAGGCCATCAGTTTCAGAAGTCCCGAAACTCAAAGGACCAAAAAAAGGAAGTGTAAGTTCCCTCCCACCCAATGCCCCTTCCTCAAAGCATTGACTGTTCGTGATGATTTTAATAGTATTTTCATAACTGCATAAAATCCAAGGGTAGAGTTTCATCTTAGGTCGGTATGCCCAAGCTAGTTTAACACTAGGCAGCTTAAATATAGTGGTGGTAACTCAGGCACTAGCCTGGGCCTAGTGCCCAAATATCTGCCCAGAATCCTAGGCACGTTCTGCAGCCTGGCTAGTTTGGGTTTATGCAGCTCATGTCCTTATGCTTCAGGTTTGGCATGCAAACAGCTTCTGGACTACAGAACTATTAGAGTGTCCATAGTATGATCGAGGCCCAGCTTCAATGATACATAAAAGCAGATGCCCAAGGTAGTTTAAAGATAGGAAAGACCAATAGTGATATTCACCAAGAGCACATTTCCAGTCTTCAATTATTTACGACTCAACAATTTCCTGAATTAAGTGATGTCTTGAAGGTGAGTTCTAGACACATGACAGTTCTCAGTGGCCATCTCCCCTGCACCCATTAACTTGCTTTGTCCTTGTCTAGCCCTCTTTGTATTATTTCTGTAGCTTTTGTGAATGGGGATAACTGGGATGCATCCAGCATTCAGGCTCTTCCAGACTCTACCCAAGTTTGCTTTTTTTTCACTAGCCCTTTTGCCACCTCTATATGGTATGCACGCACTGGTCACTAAAGCCGATTCTAGTAAGGAGGCTGCTCTGACTCACATCTTATTCTGATGTACTTTCATTCTCAAGGTCTCACCAGCTTCACACTATTTCTAACTGATTTGTGCTGAGAAATTAGTTTTGAAAACTCATGTGAGCAGCACAGTTAGTGGTAATTAGCCTAAAAGAAAATTCATCTATTAGTAAGAAGTACAGTGAATCAGATAATGTGGAGGAGGTGGCAAAGGAAATAGTGACTCTAGATTATGCCCTGGCAAAATGTTTGTCCTGTTCCCACATTCGCTTGCAATATTACCAGGCATGGAGCTACTAGGATGACTTGGGCTGGTTGTGATGACGTAAAGTATCTTTGATGACCGGGCTGCATTGATGCTGAGATTTGCTTGTTCTTCTTTTATCTTCTCTGAAAGGGTCTGATTCATTGGAATCTTGTTTTGATGCACATTATCCTTCACAGCTGGAAACACAAGAGTATGATTACAATAACAATCTCTTAACAGGTGCAATTGGACTTTATTTTGTGCTTGTAAACTGACCTGTGCTGGTCTCGGGTTTTCTTAGAGAACTCCAGTAATCAAATTATGTCTGGTGCCCGAAAAAGCCTGTACTTCACCAAGTTGGGGTTCTCAGAATTTTTCTGGAAGCTAATTGTTCATTATAACAGTAGGTATAACTCAAGGACTAAAATGTTTTCTCTTGATGACATTTGGAATAGAAAGTTGGAAAGAGCCAAGATGAACCAAGATGCAGATGGACTACTATTTTTTTATTTTGTTTCAGCTTTGTCTTTTTCCAACCTGTTTTGACAGGCAGCTATGTATAGGGTAGAATATTTTAAAATGTAAATGTTGCTATTTATGACATAACGGACTGGAGTATTCCAAATTGAGAGAAATTTTAGCAAAGCTTTTACCCACTGACCAGTGGCAACAAGATACATGAAACACCTGTAGACATGAGAGTTAAAATATTTGCTCTTTTTTTGCCACTTCAGAAATCTCCTGTGTGAATTAAAAGCTTTAACGGCTCATTGAAAGGTAGAAACAGCAAAGTTAGCCTCTTACCTCTATATCTGATAGCAAATCCCTGGGCTTGATTGATTTCATCTGAGAAAAAGTACAAAATGACAAAATCCAGAGAGATGTTAAAGGTGTGGGGAGGCCGGTTTTTGCCATTAAAACGAGCTAGAACATGATAGGTATAGCCATCCAGCAATTCCACCATATCTGTAGCATCTTTGATTTCAAAAAGGGCAAAGCTGAAGTGGATTCGAGATGCTCCTGGAACTTGTATGGTCCAGTAACAGACTTTGCCTGTGCCATATGTGTCGGGAAAATCTGGGGAATAGATCACAGCTGTAGCAGAAGTGTAATTCCCTCCACAGGCACCAATAAGGGCTGTGAAAAGGAGAGGGAGAAAAATGAAAAAAAGAGGTTATACATTCATTATGCACAGCTTTAGCACTCTGTAGATTCTAATAGTCAAATGTGACTTGAAGGTACAGACTTGCTACCCCAGCAGGATGCACCGTCTCTCAGACTGCTATTCTCCACCTTCCACAGCACTGGGCGCATAGCTGTTATGTTGCATTTGCTTGGGATACACTCATTGTCTCACTACTCTGAGACCTATGTATCAGCCTCCAAAACTGCAAATATCCTTTGTCCTTGTATGTAACCACGTACTCTTTC